CGATTACATATCACATAACCGTTAAACAATAAAAGTTTATTTGCAAGACACGTCATGAATCATTTATTAGTTAGGAGCGATAAAGTTTTTATTGATTTGTTGTAAATAATTAAATAGCCCGTTACTGATAAAATTTTGTTTGGAAGACATGACTCGACTGAAGTATCTCTATTACTGAAGTATCTCTACATCGTCCACATCCAAATATACAATAAACTGATTAAATAATTTATTGATTTTCTGGACATGGAAAATCAGTGCAAGTATTATTACCTGACAATTTAGATGATAGAAATCTCCATCTTTTCTAATTTTCTAATTGCCTAATGATGTTATATGCAAGGCTCTATATTTACGTTGTACATTTTGGTGAAAGCAATAGTTCCAAGATTCCTGGCGGAAGAAAAATAAGGCAGAAGAAAAATAAGCAGAAGAAGAGGAGAAAAAAAAAGAAAAAGATTGTAACTAAATCCCTTGATTGAAGGCAAAAATAATGGATTTGGTAGCCTTTTAATGTGGATTCTATATATTTTGTAAACAAAGCTTGTTTATGCTGGATAATTAGCTAAATATAGACATTAAGGGTAATAGAGTTTCAAATAGTGTATAGGAATGAAAAAGGGATTTTTTCCTTCCTATACCATATATGAAACTTTATTACCAAATATGTGCATAGTTTCTAATTTACCCGTCATGTTTACACTTTTTCTACAAATATTATATCATTCATTAAATACTAATTATTAGTAGCTGAATCTTCCTAATTAGGCGCGCTATAAATCAGGAACAGAATATTCTAATTGATTTAGCGACTTTCAGATCAAATTTGAAACGAAAATCCTTTATCTTCAATTTAAAATCAAATTACATAGACTCTTTTCTGCAAAAACTATGTTCTTCGATATTTTTCCTTAAACCACAAATCAAAATCGTCAACAAATTCGAATCAAATTGTAGAAATCAGTTCTGCAAAAGCTCAGTTCGTCGACTTTTTTCCTCAATCCACTGATCAAAAAAGCGACAAAATATTCAACAAATTCAAGTCAAATTGTAGAATTCAATTATGCCGATACTCTGTTCTTCGTCTTTTTTTCTTAATCCAACAAATCAAAAAAACGACAAAATATTGAACAATACCTCAGCAACGATGCGCAATCATGTCCAAAATCCTAATCATGCTACAATTAAATGGGAATTGGGATAGCTATGGCAAATTTAGAGATTTTCAAGTTGATGGCATTGTGCTCGATGAGGATCCAAGTTACAGTATGTTGATTTCTACAATTGCAGAGCAATTAATGATTGATACTTTGGAAAAAATTGTAGAAATCAAATACATTGTGAATGAGAATTGTCCTCCAATGGACATTAGGAACGATATGGGGGTTCGTGTGTATATGGAGACAAAAAAGGAGAATAAAAACTTATGATCGTATCCGTTATGTATAAGTATACGAGATTTCAATATGGAATTGACTATTACCAATGAGAACACAAGTGCAGGTTTGTTATGTTTCAAATTCTATGGAAGTCTGATTTTACTGTAATATCTATATAATTCCTACATTTATCTACAAATAAACTACACATCTGTTTTAGGATGTATAAAAGCAATATTGTTTTCATGATTATCTACAAAATTACTACATGTATACTACAATTAAACTACAATCTATGTTTCTAAAATGTTGACTACAAAATTTTTCTCTTTATCTACAAATTTTCTACAAAAATTATACAAATATACTACAAATCAATTTAAATATGTATAAAGTAGTATTATATGTAAGGGTATCTACATAATTACTACATTTATACTACAATTAAACTACAATCTATGTGAAAAAAAATGTTGACTATAAAATTTTCTCTCATCTACAATTTATCTACAAAGATTCTAAAAAAATTGTAATGACATTGTTTATCTTTATTTTCATGCAGGTTCGTCTGGGACAATAAAGTTACTTGATATGTCAGCATCTCCCGTCATAGAGGAATATCAGAGTGAAATAATAACTGAAGGTACACAAAGTGTTATCGAAGAAGGACAACTGTATCAAGACAAGCAAACAATTGCAACTGCAATGAAGCACTATTCTGTCATGCACAAATACCAATTCGGGGTTAAAAGATCTAGCCACAGAAGGTTTGAATATATTAATGGTGAAAAGATTATTATAAACAGTATTTTCCTTGTGATATGTGTTTTTCAAATATTGTAGACGAAAAGTAGTTATATTGTATAGTGTGTTACTTTATCTTAAAACAGTCCTTTTTGTTACATCTACATTGATAACCTATATTATAAATGTATTTTTTTGTAGCTACTGACTTATATGCCTTGGAGAAAACTGTAATTGGCACTTCAAGGCAACATCAATTAATGATTCTGCAATGTTCAAGGTCAGGAGTTTCAACTGACAACACACATGCACCTTAATGGACGATACATTCATACAGCGCAAACGTACTGCAGTTGTAGTTGGTAGCATGATCATTCCAAAGTATTGTGATCCTAAGACAATTTACACACCAAAGGACATACAAACTGACATGTTGTCCCAACACGGAGTGAACCTAAGCTACATGCAAGCATGGAGAGCAAATGAAAAGGCTTTACAGTTTTGAGAGGTAATCCGGCTGACTCCTACAATAAATTCACATTAATAAAATGCATAAAAAGGATACATTCATCTAAATTTTATCTACAACATAACTACAAATTATTACATAATATCTACAATTTAAAGCATTTTCTACAAAAAGGCAGCAACAAAAGATAACTACAATTCTGCTTCAAATAGTACAAGTTGCCTAACAATATAACTACAAAAAAAATTACAAAATATCTACAACTATAAAGGCAGAACATCACAACTACAAATAATCTTCAAAATTAAGAAAATTACTCTACACTTGTCTAAAACACGTATAACACAGATTTTACCATCATAAGCCAAATTAAACAATTAGAAACGAAACTAATAAATGTTTACCTTCACCAATAATTGGTTGCGAACAATTTTAGGGTTTTTTTTGAATGTTTCTTCATTTTTGGATTTTTCGAACAAGGAGACACATTTGCTTTCTTTTCTGTTCGAAGATTAGGGACCTCTTCTTCAAAGTCGTCTTCTACCAAAAGCTCTTTTCCTTTTCGTTTGACTTGTTTGCCTACTTGTTTGCCTCGTGTAGAAGTTTCTCCAGCATCTACATCATGTTTTTGTTTGGTTCTCATCTCGGCTCTGATTTGTCGGGGAGAGGAGCTATGAGTAGTCTCTACAATTACATGTGGAGATTTGGCTAGCTTTTTGGGTGATTTTGGTGATAAAACACCCAAATCAAATGAGGGTATATCAGCTACTGCTGATTTTTTAGGACTTTGTTTTGAAGCTTTGTTGTTCCTCATTGATGAACTTCAACTGGAGTAAAATGGGGAACCAATTTTGTTGAAGAGTTTCTTCAATTTTGTTGAAGGGTTTCTTCAATTTTCTGTGAATTTAGAGGGAGAATTTGGTTTCAGAAGATGAAAAATGGTAAAAAGAACGTGGGTATGGGTAAAACATGGGTGGGGCTGAGAGGTTAGGAGAGAGAAATGTAGGATGAGTGGGGATACTTGGATATACAGATTCCTTTAATTAAGGAGTAAAAAACGTACAATTAATTATATCCTTAATTAATTATGGTATAGAATTGTTAATTTGGTATACTAAGTGTAATTAAGTCAAACCTTGAACATTGAGGGTAATAAGGTTTCATATGTGGCATAGGAATGCAAAAATTCCAATAAAAAATCCCTTTAGGATAAAGGAACTGTATCAATTTGCCTATTACTGCTCATAGATAGAATTGGGTCGAACTAAATTTTGGCCCTTTATAACTGAAAAGAGATTCAGAGCCTGTTTGGATTGGCTTAAAAGCCGGTCAAACTAGCTTTTAAGTTATTTTTAGATGTTTGGAGTGTTTGGCAAAAAAGAAAACAGTTTAAAAAAAGTTTAAAAAGGCTTAAAAAAGCTAAAAAGCCACAAGTTAGGATATCCTAACTTCTCCGTTTTTGGCTTAAAATCCATCTTATTTTGACTAACGAAATTACTTACTTGTCCCTTATAACTTTTACTAATCCCAAAACTACCCTCGTCAAATAAATCCTAAAACATTCAACTACTCTCACTTTCTGTTCATCTTCTTTCCTCTTCTTCTCCTTCATCTTCGACGGTAAGTTTGTTCTTCTCCTTCATCTTCGACACTTTCTGTTCTTCTTTCCCAAACTGCTCCCAAGTTTTCCTTGTTCTTCATCCTAAAACATCCAACTACTCCCAAACATGGTTTTAAGGCTTTACATTTAAAAAAAATATGGTAACAATCTTTTTGCAAGTTTTATGTTTGGTCATGATCAGCTTATAGAAATCGAGGTTTGGCAGATTGTTACATAATAAGCAAGAGGAAGATGTAGGTTCTTGATTTATTTTATGCGATATCCTTGTCTTTTTAACAGAAAAAAGTGTTTACCAGCACTTATTTACCAAACACTTCAATAATTTTTTTTAAGTTTCAGCACTTTTATCCAAACAGGTAACTGCTTATTTATAAAACAAGCTCCAATACTTAAAATTTACTTTTAAGCACTTGTGCATAGAAGCCATTTTTTTAAGCCAATCCAAACGGGCTCTAAAACCCAATTGATGCTTTATGTGAGCTGATTTTATAGCCCAATACAATGCCATAAAGGAGTTAGTAAAAGGATATTTGTTACATTATTTTACATCAATGGTTTTCTATCACGACCCAAATTCTCAACCTTAGGGATCGTGATGACGCCTAACACAACACTTGCTAGGCAAGCCAATGTTACAGTTCGCTCAACTATTTTCGCTAACTAATCATTTAAACAGGATAGAACAATTTTAAATTAAACTTGATCCAATGACTTTGAACGATTAAATCCAAATATAAACGAATAATTAATTAAATAAAATGAGCCACGAGACTAATTATATAAATAACTTAAAACTACCCCAGGGTCTGGTGTTACAACTCACGAACTACTAAAGAATACTACAAATAATGGGCTGGAAGAAATAATGTATAACTGTTTTGAATCAAATAAAACAGTAGTCTAAATAATATAGAGAAGACTCTTGAGATCCGCGGACGCCGGCAGATATACCTCGTGTCTCCGAAGGAATGGATAGTTGCTCTAACAACCTCTACTATTGGCCAGTACCTGGATCTATGCAAAAGAGCATAGAGTGTAGTATCAGTACAACCGAACTCATGTACTAAATAAGTACTGAGCCTAACCTCGACGAAGTAGTGACGAGGCTACGGCGGGTCATTAACAATATAACCTATGACAATAATAAATAATAAAGCAAGAAAAAAAACTAAAACAATTAAATAATAATAGCTGCAACAACCATTTGAATTAATTCAGTCACCCTTTCCATGTCTCAGCTAGGACCAATACTCCAATAAATTTTCCATTTCCCAACTTTACCTTAAAATACCCACATGTACAAAATATGAGAAAGACTGTCCCAAATCTTTATAATTAAAAACAGTAAAACATAATTATTCACCCTTATCACAATCTATTTCGCCCCCTTATCACAATCAATTTTGTTTATTCATCAAAAACTTTCACAATTCAGGCCAAGCCTTTCACAATATTTTAGTTTCAACAATTACAAATAAGAAACTATGTTTTCTCATAAACTTCATCAATATCCTCTCAACCATGAAACCAACAGGAACATACATACATATATATATATATATATATATATATATATATATCGTAAAAATAATGCCAACTGCTCCACCGTTTTGTACCACAAGGGAACCAAATAAACAACCAATTCTCTTTCCAAAATAACCACAACAATATTTAACACCCAAATAACAAGGCCAATAGTCACAAAAATAATAATGAACATAGAACTATTAAGACAGGAATCCATTAAATTGGAAACGGGAAAGGGATCATGTTTAACAGACCATTTGGTGGTGCATAGATACTTGTCACCTCACCTATACACCACACACATGCATTTCACATAGAAAACAAGTGGGGATTCTTATTCCCTCAAGTCAAAGTTAGACCAACCACTTACCTCAAATTCCCAGGCCACTCACTGCTCAATTACAGCTTTTCCTTTAGAATCTTGCTCTAATCCGCTCGAATCTAATCATAATTAGGTTAATATCATTAATTAATGCTAAAGGAACTAACTTTACTGAAAATTATAATTTTTCCTATGTTTTCTCAAAAAAAAATTAAAAAACGACTTCAGGCTCGCTTGGTCCAAACTCGAGATTCGGACCAAAATCCGTTTACCCATTCACGCCCGAACCCGAATATCAAATGCGGCAGATTCAATAGTGAAAAACAAAGTTGTCGAACTGTAGCCTCACATATTACCCAGCAGCTCAAAAAAATATGACTTCTCATGCTACAAAATTGACTACATTATTTCATTATACTATTTCACATTCAATAATAATTACCCAATCATTAGCTGATTAATTCTATATCTAGTATACTTAATATTAGAGATTTATAATTGGTAGTGCAACATAAACTGATACCTCGTTTTTGCATTCTAACCTTATATCAAATCTTTACAAGTTTTTAATTATTACTCCATCATTAGGAACCCAATTATTGTCTAGCTATTGAAAAGGCATAAATTCCAATTTATTTAATTAACTACACCACCGTAAGTAATGGAAAGATATGTGTACCTGATTACTTGGACTGCTTCTACAAAATTTTATACAGTCAATAGCTATATCAGGCCCGATAGTCGTCGACTCTGTCACAACGCCAACACCTATCTGCTATTCTAGGTTTTGTTTCTAGCATAGAAGTTAGAATTAATCACCTTCACTTATTTACTTACCACACGTGACTTGCAACCTGGCAGCAAAGGAGAATAGGCCTGGCCCATTTCTTTTGTTAAAACGACCCAATCAAGTTATTAATTTACCAACAATTACATGTAGTATAAATGTGGCCCGCTAGTAATTAACTGGTACACAATTATATATATTCTAATAATTTATTCTACTAGCTTAGTATTTGACTTAAACGTTATAATAAACTTGTACCGGGACCCGGAACCAAAGTACGGACCCGATAACAACGAGTTCAAACATTAATCAATTTCTGTAATTCATTTAAATTTCAGTTTAACAACTTTCGTCAAAAATTCATTTCTCGAGTTAGGGACCTCGGAATTCGATTTCGGGCATACGCCCAAGTCCTGTATTTTATTACAGAGCTCCTAAGACCGTCGGAACACGGGTTCGGATCCGTTTACTCAAAACGTTGACCAAAGTCAACTAAAATCAAATTTAACTCTCAAAAATTACTATTTCAAATATTTTCATATAAAAGCTTTCCGGATTCATGCTCGGACTATGCACGCAAATCGAGATAATTAAAATTAGTCTTTTTATAGTTAATAAGTCTAGAACGGAGTCTTAATTCATAATATGACCCCTTGGGTTATCACATTGTCTTCCTTTATCAATATAATATTAGCCCTCTTTGGTATGACAAATAGCACCGGCTAGCCAGTTTTCGGATTGATAATTAAAAAATAATTAGCGTTTGCAAAGTCATGAAAAAATAGTTACTATTTTGCTGCAACACGAAAAGTTCCATCATAATATACTAGAGAGTGGTGCACCTGTGTATGAACTTCCAGTATATTATGTTGGAACTCCAGCATACAGAAAATTCCAGCATAATAAACTGGAGATTGGAGCACCTGTGTATGAACTTTCAGTATATTATGCTGGAACTCCAGTACGTTATGCAGGAAGTTCAAATGTAAAAAATTCGAACTCCAGTATATTGTGAAGGAATATTTCCCGGATTTGAATAATGTTTTCGTTCGAATTTATCTTTATATGAAAAGTGGCTAAATTTCGATTACTTTTGAAAATATTGCTATTTTCCAATTATCACTTGTAAATCTGGCTATTTTTTAATTTCACCCAAATGTTTCCTTGACGCAATCCTTTACGGTGTTCATGGAGCACATATTTAGGGAATTCACATTTTGCTGTGTGTTATTAAGAGTTTTCGTATGATAGTAGTTTGCAATTTAAGAAAGTACATAATCTAAAAATTAAAGAAAAAAAATTACCTTATTATGACTATATTCAGAAGGACGACGAAAAACAAAAAAGAAACAACAAAGTAAATGAGATAAACAAGAGAGAATAATACTTTTCTCAAAAGTGAAAGGTTAGCATAGAGAAGTTTAGCCAAAAGAGAAAAGAAAGAATATCTAAATGGATAATGATTCTAGTCTTCTAGATGGATAATAGTACCAAAAGAGTTTCCGCCTTATCAAGATGTGTGCGTCACGGGCAAGGTTTTTGGTATTCAGTTTCTTAAAATATATATTAATACTATACCTAATTATATTCGGTATGGTTCATTTTTTTTCTTTTGATTTCGATTTATTCGACTTGATAATAACTAGTGCATAAAATCATAAACTATAATATTCTTAATTAAAGTACTCAATGATCAGATTCTAAGCTCACCCTATTGACAACATCTTTGTCCAAACCATCAAGTACCAACTAAGAGAAAAAAGTACGTAAAGGAATACATATGCTCATTAGAAATATTATTTTACTTGATTAGGGTTAATTGTTAAAATTAGAGAATACAACAAGGATTAATCCAATATATGTAACAACAATACAAGAGTAAAGGAGTAAGAAACACCCTGAAATCGTTGAAATATTACATTAAACTGCTTGACAACCTAGATATAGGAAGAATTAGAACTACATCCTACCCTGTTCCTCTATTTTCCTAAACAAGTACATGGGTTTGACTGCCAACCTCAACATAAATGCCAAAGAAAAGTATTGTGTAACTTGGTATATTAATCAATAATATTTGTAATGTATAATTTAGTATAAATTTCGGTATGGTATCGATATTATTTTTTAAAATAGTAAATACCATACCTAATGCCAAATAATTTAAAAACTTAAACAAAATATCATACCAAATACCAAAATACCGAATATCATATACCAAAATTTTTAATTTTTGATAACGATAATTCCATACTTACCATATTATGCACGTCCCTAGTTATGGAGNGTATCAGGATTTGCGGCAGCATTATTGGTGGCGTAGAATGAAGAAGGATATTATTGCATATGTGGCTTGATGTTTGAATTGTCAATAGGTTAAGTATGAGCATCAGAGGCCTGGTGGATTGTTTCAGAGGATTAGCTTCCCGAATGGAAGTGGGAGCGGATCACTATGGACTTCGTTACTGGACTTCCGCTGACTCGGAAGAAGTTCGACGCAGTTTGGGTCATTGTTGATAGGCTGACCAAATTAGCGCATTTCATTCCTGTGGCAGTCTCCTATTCATCCGAGAGGTTAGCTGAGATCTATATCCGAGAGATTGTTCGTCTTCATGGCGTGCCTGTAACTATCATTTCGGACCGAGGTACACAGTCTACCTCGCGTTTCTGGAGAGCAGTTCAGCGAGAGTTGGGCACTCAGATTGAGTAGAGTACAACATTTCATCCTCAGACGGACGGGCAGTCCGAGCGGACTATTCAAATTTTGGAAGATATGCTTCGAGCCTGTGTCATTGACTTTGGAGGCTCGTGGGATCAGTTTTTGCCTTTAGCAGAGTTTGCCTACAACAACAGTTACCAGTCGAGTATCCAGATGGCTCCTTATGAGGCTTTGTATGGTAGGCGATATCAATCTTTGGTTGGATGGTTTAAGCTGGAGGAGGCTCGGTTGTTGGGTACGGATCTGGTTCAGGAGGTCTTGGACAAGGTCAGGATCATTCAGGAGAGGCTTCGTACGGCTCAGTCCATGCAAAATCGTTATGCAGATCGCAAAGTTCGAGATGTGGCTTTTATGGTTGGTGAGCGGGTATTGCTCCGAGTGTCGCCTATGAAGGACGTGATGAGATTCGAGAAGAAGGGCAAGCTTAGACCTAGGTTCATTGGTCCATTTGAGATTCTTGATCGAGTGGGAGAGGTGGCTTATAGACTTGCATTGTCGCCTAGCTTATCAGTCGTGCATCCAGTATTTCATGTCTCCATGTTTCGGAAGTATTACGGTGATCCATCCCGCGTGTTAGATTTTAGTACTGTCCAGTTGGACAAGGACTTGTCTTATGAGAAGGAGCCGGTGGCTATTCTAGACCGGCAGGTCCGTTAGTTGAGATCGAAGAGTTTTCCTTCGGTTCATGTTTAGTGGAGAGGTTAGCCTCCTGAGGCGTCGACCTGGGAGTTCGAGTCCGACATGCGTAGCCGTTATTCTCATCTTTTCCCCGACTCAGGTACTTCCTTCTTCTGTCCGTTCAAGGACGAACGGTTGTTTTAGAGGTGGAGAATATGACGACCCAAAGGGCCATCACCTGTTTTTAATTGAACTCTGTGCCTCCGAGGTCCTGGAAACCTCATTTAGAGTAGCCTCGATTTGCGTGCGCAGTCCGGGCGCATAGCCGGAAAGCTTAAATATGAAATTCTGTGAAAAATGTTAAGTCTTGACTTTAAAATGAGTAAATTTGACTTCGGTCAACCTTTTGGGTAAACGGACCCGAATCCGTGATTCGATGGTCCCGGAGGGTCCGTAGGAAAATATGGGACTTGGGCGTATGCCTGGAATCGAATTTTGAGATTCCAAGCCCGAGAAATGAATTTTTTAAGTGAAATTGTTTTTTTGAAATTGTTTAAGGAAATTTGAAATGAAAACTGATTAGACAACAATGGTATTGGGCCTGTATTTTGGTTCTGGCGCCCGGTACAGGTCTTATATATGACTTGAGTCATTCCTGTGAAATTTGGTTAAAAACGAACGTCGTTTGACGTGATCCGGACTTTTATTGAGAAGTTTGATGTTTAAAAGAGTTTTGAGAAATTTATTGATCTCGAGGTTTAATTCGATGCTCGTGATGTTTTTTTGGTAATTGGATTACACGAATACGTTCGTAGGATATTTTTGAGGTTGTGTGTATACTTGGGTTGGAGTTTCGAGGGCTCGGATGAGTTTCGAGTGGGTTCCGGGATGCCTTAGGCTTAGAAAGTCAGATGTTGCAGGTTCAGGAAGTTGCAGTCTCTGAACCCTCTAGTGCGGTCCGCGAGAAATCGCGTGCGACCGCGGAGGGGCCAGCACGGTCGCGGTCGCCTTTGTGAGGTCCGCGGTGGAGGCTGTTCGGCCGCAGTCGCCTTCGTGTGATCCGCACAGGGTGCTGAACTGCAGGTCATAAGGGAGACTTGTGCGGCCGCGGTCGCACAGGGGGTCTGAGAGGGGTATAAATAAATGAGAATTTCAGTTATTTTTCACTTTTCAAAACCCCAAAAACATAAGAGGCGATTTTTCAAACAACCTTTCTTCTCCAAAAACGTTGGTAAGTGATTTCTAACTCATTTTCTTCACTCCTTAACATCTTTTAACATGATTTCAACTTCAAATCAAAGATTTTCATGGGGAAAATTGGGTGTTTTGGGTAGAACCTAGGTTTTTTCTAAAATTGGGGATTTAGACCTCAATTTGAGGTCCGATTTCAAAATAAATTATTTAATTGGATTCGTGGGGGAATGGGTAATCGGNGGTACGCCTACCACAAGATATTATGAAATGGGAGCAGGTGGTACGCCTACCACAAGATATTATGAAATGGGAGCGGGTGGTACGCCTATCACAATATATTATGAAATGGGAGAGAAGGGTACGCCTACCACAAGATATTATGAAATGGGAGCGGGTGGTATGCCTACCACAAGATATTATGAAATGGGAGCGAGTGGTATGCCTACCA